CGGCGGGCGACTCACTCTCCTCAGCTGGCGACTCACTCTCCTCACATGGCGGGCGACTCATCCTCAGCTGGCGACTTACTCTCCTCACGTTTCTTTTCAAATACTGTGATGGTGCAATAACTAACTACATCTAGTAAAGTTTATAATTTTTGTGTTGTAAATAAATGTTCAAATGCTCAAAGGTTGATACATAAAATGTTAATACATAAAATGTATTTTTTTACTCAAGCATTTCAGAATGAGCCTTTTTTCATAGTACATAATACACATTACACAGTTCTATACTGGATTGCATGAATCAAGCAAATTCAGATCTATCAAACCCAAAAACAAAACACAAAAATTATTTATGTAATTTTAATAAAATGAACGTTTCCCCTTAAGTAGCAAAGCCATTATATTAGCTGTGTTTTGCTTTTACAAAATCAAACCAAAGCAAATAAATAAATAAATAAATTGACTAAAAAATATTGCACAGCAGGTACATGATGACAAACTGGTCACTTGTTAATCTAATGCACAGTGGGCGGTGCATGGAAGGTCGTCCAAAGAAACAACAGCAAAGCGTAGGATGATGGTTCTGTTCTAAATAGCCATAAATGATCGTCTAAAAGTTTACGGTATAATTTTAAAAGTGTCCAATAACTAATCATACATACAAGTTTGTTGTAAGACATTTCAAGAACAGAATTTAATAATGTAATCAACAGTGATCCAACTTAAATAACAAACAAGATAAGGAACTGGAGGCAGAAAATTCAATGTTTATTGAACTTATTTTTTTCCACTTAAGCCCTGAAAATGAAAAATACACAATCACAAAGTAATTACTTCATGAACTGCATCCAAAACCAGTATATTACAAACCAGTAGCAGAGAGTGTAGCAGAGATGGTATTTGGTAGTAATTTAACTGGCCCATCCTCTTCTCTTCTGGTGTTTGGATTTTGTTTCAAATTTTTTTTTACTTCATCTCAATGGTATGGAGGTTGATGACTTTTGTGGCACTTGCAATATGAACACACAAAAACGTGGACATGTTTAGAAGGCTAAATTGTCTTAAAATAGTCACACTTGTGTCACACTTGTATAGTCACTTAAATCTTCGCTTTGCTGTTGAAAATAAAAAGTAATTTTTTGAGATACAATCTACAAATCAGCCATGATAAAGTAGTATCTGTTAATGTCTAAATATATATCCAAATGGAAACCTTATACAAATCATTACATCTGAAAACCAGGGAATACACAGCTCTAGAGCTATAGAGTACAGGTATCTTAGTTGTTATGCCAATTATATGATTTTCTTTATTCCACTAGAGGGCACCAATCTGCCGGACATTCATTCAGTTTTATTATTATTATTATTATTTATTTTTATTTGTTTTTACCTAAACACTGTATTAATTTAAAATAATATGAAATATATGTTCTAGTATTTGTATTATTTTATATAGAAATTAATGGTAATTCAGAGGCAAATATTGTATAGTACCATGAAAATCCTCTCAAAATACACAATATTTAATAATAAATATGATAGAAACAAAGTATAGCACATTTCTTTCATTAAAAATTGTAATGTTTATTGTCTCCTAATATGACCACAGAAGTCACAAGTGTGACTCCTACGTGAGGAACACCAGAATAAGAGCTGACAGAAGACTGCACGGTTTTAGCAAACTGACCTTACTGGTAAGATAACCAAGGGAGAAATGTCACAGCCAACACCGAAGAATGGAAATAATCTTTCAGTGAACGTGTGTGTAAAAGAGTGCATATGAGTGTCAGTAAGAGGGTCAGAGAACGACAGCTCTCCACTGTCCCAGTCCAGCTGAACTCTGATCCTCTGCAGTTTCTCTTTCACTGGGAGGAGAGCTGGTGATTGTGGTGGTTCATGTGCTTTATATTCACCACAGAAATGACCCACCAGCCAGATTCCACTCCTTGAGAATATTTTATTCCTCCTCTGAGCAGATTCGGTCATCACTCCGAGGAACCAGCCTGTACTGTCTCCGACCTCAACGTCCCAGCAGTGAGAGCCAGAGTCAAAGCCCTCTGAGCCCAGAACACACGCAAACATGTCGAATCTCTCTGGATTCTCAGGAAGAGTCTGTTCCTCATCGCTGTATCTCACACTGGTCAGATCCTCAGACAGGATGAGATTACAGTGAGCAGTGTTGGGGTCAAAGGTCACAGGAGCTGAAGAGAGAGACACATAAACATGAAATAAAATAAATGACTCTTACGATAGAGATGAATTCATTGTGTGCTTTACTCACTGTAATCAACAGTTTTCTGCATCTTCTGTAACACAGTAAACTTCAGGTTGCTCAGGTGTTTTGGCACATTGATCAGAACTCCAGAAATGTCCTCTGGATCTGGATCTGGCGCTTTACACTGGGAAACTCTGGGAAAACACTCAGTAGTCAGTGATGCTGTGGGTCTGAGTTCAGAACAACAGAGGAGAAACGATACAAACCTTTTCAAAGTGGCATCATAGTTCTGTAAAAATATATATATAGATTATTGAACAACACTTAAGTTCATTTTCAAAAACAACTTCTTAGCATTTGTCTCCAGTATGTTGAATCTGCTGTACGTAAACGGACATGCTTCATACTTGTAGGAATAAAGCATCTTCAACTTTCATCTCCTCCTCTACAGCTCTGGTAGTGTCTGAAAGACAGGAAATCTCTGTGTACATTTTCTCAATATTCTCATTCACTCTCTGACTCTTCTGCTGTTCTTCCTTCCTCAGTTTAGTTATCTTTACTGACTCTTCAACACGTAGAAACTGGTGAAGTGTCTCAAACTCCTCCTTAATCTGCCTCTCTATGTGCTGGGCCTGAAACTGATAAAAAATGCATTTTAGACAAATATATAATGGTTACACTACAGTCTATCCACATTATTTTTTAATGCAAGTGTGTCTACAGCCATTTGTAACTTGAATGAGCGCTTTACTTTATTTTAGTTGTTCAAAAACAGTTCATCATGCTGCTTGATACTGCAAACTATTTCATATGATATTAATTTATTATCATAATCATTAACACATTGGTTTGAGGTACAAATAAATCATCAATTTAGGAGTCGGCAATACTGCTAAAATATCGATTTTTTTTTAATGTAAGATCTCGATCCACAATTTTATCACATTTTTTTGTCATGGTTTGTAATGTCAAAATGTCATGTCATTTTTTGTTGGTTTGTAAATCTATGTTTTTGCAAATTACTGAGCAGAGTCAAATTAATTGCCCCATTTAAAAAATATACAATGTAACAAAAGTCACAGGAAATGGCTACTTCCACACTGAAAAACAAGTTGAATAGATATATAAACATTTTCGCTTTACTTGAGTAACACGGTTTAATTCTGACCTTCATATGTTTTGCTGTATTATGAGTGCCGTGCTGCTCATATTTATCACACAGTAAAAATGCCCCTCCCCGTGCCCAAAACGGGTTGCCTGTGGATGAGAATCCAAAACAAGGACTGGTGGGAGGGTGTCCTGCTCCACTTCACAGTTGGCGCGTGAAAGGAGAGGTTTATAATGACGTTGTCCTGCTCCACTTCACAGTTGGCGAGTGAAAGGAGAGTTTTATAATGACAGGACACGCATTTATACAACACTTTATTCAAAAGGAAGAACCGCTCGTTCCGCGCGTCATACGTCATTACACTATTTCTGCATCATTGCACATGCGCAGTCCTTTCAGTTTCGGGGTTCAATCCGAGTGAGTGTTTACATGCACTCTCAATCATATTAGAAAAGGAATAAACCTCCCCCTTCAATCCGATCGAGCTCAATCGGATCGATAAAGGTGTTTACATGAAGGTTTTTCAGTCCGATTGAGCCGTCAATCCGATTACAAATGGATTATTTGGTTGCATGTAAACGTAGCCCAGTGAACTGTAGTGAGCTGGATGCAGTGTTTTTATCATCATCATCATCATCATCATCATCATTTGCTGCTGTGTCCATCACTTCTCGTCGTCTCACTTCTAGTGTGGGAATTGAAGTAGCACACCGTGTCTCTCTGGTCTTCTTCCACATATCCTGAAAGAGCATTTTAATTCGTTCTGCGTCTTTGGACACGCGATCGTACCTCAATAACATTGTTTTACAAGAGCCGCAGATGGCCAGAGTCCTGTCCTGAAGTTTGCCAACAAATTCCTCCAAGACGACCGCATAATCCGCTTTGTTTGCAAGTTTATGTCCATGAAAGAATCTGTATTTATTACATCTGGATGGATTAAAATTTTGATCACCCAGTCTACACACATTTGCTGATGTTTTAATGGGTGTTGTCTGTACATCTGGCTGAGACTCTTGTGTCATTATTGAACGGGTCTGCCTACTCTTCTTCTTTGTTGTTTCACTTCGGTTAGAGAAATGGAGTATTATCAAGTATGAATCTTACATGTCGTCCTCAAGGGGGCGCTTTAAGCAGCATTCAAATCTCAAATCTTCAAGGGTTAATTTACCCAAAAATTTAAATTAGCTCATGCTTTACTCACCCTAGGTGTATATGACTTTCTTCTTTCAGACGAATCCAATCGGAGTTATATTAAAAATTGTCCTGGCTCTTCTAAGCTTTCGGACAGTCCCAAAGAGGTCCAATAAAGTGCATCCATCCATATTAAAGGGGTCATATGATGCTGCTAAAAAGAACATTATTAAACGTGCCTCACACGATATTCATCCAAATAGGAAATGAAAAGAAACCAATTTGCATTTGTTTTATCACTGCATTTATTTATTTTATTAGGAAAATTCCATATACATATGAAAAAGTGAAAATAGCCTAAGAAAAAACTAATCTCTTCCATTTTATAAATGCCTTAAACATAAACCTTTTGGAACAAACTAAAAATTGTATTAAAGGGGTGGTTCACTGGGTTTTTTCTAGGCTTGATTGTGTTTATGGGGTGCAGTTAAAGCAGCGCTGCATGGCCTCGCCTCCTTTGCTGCGTGTTCCCGGAGGCGGGGTTTATCTGGGTTTGTTACGTCACAAACCTGGGAAGTAACTTGTTGTAGTCCCTACCAGCCGTTTTTGTAGGCATTAAACTGCCAGAATTTTAAAAGACGACATCTCCGTTTGCATTGAACTTTCAGCTTTGTAACTTTGCTCAAACAACAACATTAGACACGAACTAACGTTAAAAAAGGGAAATCGCAATGAACCACCCCTTTAACTTTTTTGTCTGTTGGCTAATGTGGTTAATAATGTAATACCCCTGGTTCTTGAAGCATTGAATAACAATGAAAAATTAAAATAAATAAAATAAATATTTAGGAAACATTTATTTTTCCTTTGACATTTCTGATGTGCATTCAAGTTGTAATAAAATAAATAAATAAAAATAAAATAAGGGAACATTTATTTTTCCTGACATTTCTGATTTCTGATGATGAAGTTATTAAACTGGAAAAAGTCAAGTCCACCAAGACAAACTTTGAATATTGGTTTGACAGACATTGCCTGAGGTTTAAAGTAGTTTTAAAAGCTTAGGTTTGAAGGTTATAGGATCGAGATGTGCTGAAGGGGAAGGTTTTAAAGGAGTGCTGCACAGCAGGGATCTGTGTTTACTCGAATGTTTTAGAAACATTATAACCCTGGCCTGGAAGGACATCTCTTACATCCCTGTACCCAGAACTCCATGTGCAAAATCTTTAAATGTTATTTGACCCATAGGTCTTACATCAGTTCTCCTTAAATGCATGGGGCCTCTACAGTATATGTAAAGGTGAATTTATGGACACCGCGCATTTTGCTTATCAAGCTAACCTATGCTGGATAACATCCAACAGCATTTGAACAAAACTAACTCTTCTGCCGTCAATACAGTCCAACCCCAAAGTACCTACTACAAGATGTAAATGTGAACAGCAGGCTAGTCCTTTGCATCAAAGTGCTGCTTCAGCAGTCCGTATGAACAGCACCTCATCTGACTGGTGCTCCTCAGGGATGTGTGCTGCTGCATCTCCCCTGTTATATCATGTTAATATATAGCAGTCAAGTGCAGTGTAACAAGAGTGACCTGTTCCTTTCAAGTATGCTGATGATACAGCTTTGGTCGCTTGCTAGAAGGATGTAAATAGTCTATTTCCAGTATGTTGACAGTCGTGTCTACAGGTTTGATAACAGCTCCCTACACATTAATATCACCAAGACGAAGGAGCCATGATTAGAAAGTTACGCTTGAGCTGGCAGCACAGGATGTGAAGAAGGTCACCAGCTTTAAATATCTCTGCACTATAATAGACAGTAACTTTCACAGCAACACTGACTACATCCGAAATAATTCAAGGGAAAAAAAGAAGAAGGGAAAAAAAAAAGTTTATGTTGGAAAATTCCACTGGACAACAAAATTATATAAATCCTGGCAGAACTTTACTATAAAAGGATCACATTGTTATCATTAGTTAATCAGAAACTAACAGCTAATGTTAATTTCTATATACAATTTCTATATAGTACATTTGTTCTATTTCAAGTTTATATATAAATTAATACATAAATTAACATCATTTAATATATAATTAAGCAATATGAATTAACAGTGAATAATAGCATTTTTATAAATTAGCATTAAAGGAATAGTCCACCCCCCCCCCTCAAAAAAAAATTGCAAAAAATTTGCTCACCCTAAGGCCATCTAAGATATGATGAGTTTGTTTCTTCACTGGAACAGATTTGGAGACATTTAGCATTATGTCACTTGCTCACGAATGGGTCCTCTGCAGTGAATGGGTGCCGTCAGAATGAGAGTCTAAACAGCTGATAAAACATCACAATGACCCAGAAGTAATCCAAATGACTTGCAGTCCATCAATTCATATCTAAAGAAGTGAAAAGCTGCATGTCTGTAGGATAAAATCCATCAAGATGTTTTTACTTAAAACCGTTGCTTCCGGCTAAAATACAAGTCCTCTATCTGTAATATTGGTGTCTCCAGTGAAAAGTTTGTCTTGACTGAATCAGGAGAGAAATAGGTACAGATCAAGCACCGTTTACAAGTGAAATTGTGTTTTTTTGCATTGTGTTGTTAAAACACCTTGATGTATTTGTTTCTTACAAATACAGCTTTTCACAAGACGTTCATTGATTAACTGTAGTCATCTGAATTTTTCTAATGCTTTTAGAAAAATTCCATAATGTTTGGACTCTTATTCAGACGGCACCCATTCACTGCAGAGGATCCATTGATGAGCAAGTGATGCAATGTTAAATTTCTCCAAATCTATTCTGATGAAGAAACAAACTCATCTACATCTTGGCTGGCCTGAGGGTGTCAAAATTGTTAGTAAATTTTCATTTTTGGGCGAACTATTCCTTTAACCTAGATAACAATTGCTGTAGAAGTATTGTTCATTGTAAGTTCATGATACCCAATACATTAACTATGAATTAAACTTTACTGTAAAGTGTTGCATTGGCAGTTATTATCCTCAAGTTATTGTGATGTCATTTTACTATTTTAAGTATTGTTTTTAATTATGTCCACATGTCTATTTATGTTCAATAATTACGTAAAGTCTTTTTATGTAAAATATTTATTAATGGTGTCTGTCTACATGCTATTTTCAAAGACACATTTCCATTGTACAACAAATCCAAAGGATTATAAAGCATAAAATAGAATCTTTTTAGATGTCAAAATCCTTAGTAATACAGAAATAAGTGCATATATTAGATGTTGTTTTTCTCTTTTATTTAAAGAGGTGCATTCATATGCATATGATATGAAATGATTTTTTGCTTATTCAACTGTAGTATCCAGTGTGTAGCATTTTGTTCAAAAGCATAATTGAAATATTCAGTTTTAGCAACTCACCTAGAACCTAAAACTTTGTGTTTGTTTCTCAAATAAGTGTTTTATACAGACAACCCACTGTGAGAGAATTCACATCAGGCCTGACACACCTCTTCACACACACTCATGTTGGTATTGGTGGTTTATGGGGATATAGGTGTAATGGATTTTATACTGTACAAACTGTATATTCTATCGCCCTACACCAACCCTACACCTAAACCTACCCCTTACAGGAAACTTTGTGCATTTTAGATTTTCAAAAAAACACCATTCATGTTTTTTTTAAACCTTTTGAATTATGGGGACATAGGCAGTGTCCTCATAAACCACCTTCACATTTTAATACCTCTGTCATACCCATGTCATTATACAAATTTGTGTCCCCGTAAACCACACAAACCAGTGCACTCAACAAACACACACACACACACACACACACACGTGCACAAAATTTCACCGACCAGCTTATAGTGGTTTGTGACTTTACTGTATACAGTGAGAAACAATATAAAAAGAAAAATGATTGTGCCTCTAGAGAGATCACACATCTCTCTGTGATAGCTGTTGTTCATAATACAGTAAATATTCAAATCAGGATACACAACTAGTCTCTATGCATACTCAAGAGGTAAACATTCATACATAATTCTAATTATTTTTATAAACAATTTTTTTGCAACTGAATTTTGAAGAAAAAAAAAAAAGAACAAAGAAAAATAGGAGAAAAGAAATTACAGGAATCGTTTCTGATTTTTTTTCTTTTTTTTATACAGTTCGACCTCTTTTTACTGTCAAACCTCTTGGTTCTGATTCTAGCTTTGTGTTTTTCCCCCTTAGAGTCAGTACATGCTGCCATAAGTGAAAACCCCTAGATCAGGAAAACCTCTAGACAAGATACAACAAATACATGTTGACTTTGGGCATTTATTAAATCATATGGTATGTTATCAAGCGGAGTTATTTGACACTCTATACTAGAATGCGAGTATACAGGCCTGTATTCCTCTGTGAAACATGCCAGCATGTATCTGAGTCACACAGCAGCTAGAGGAGAAAAAGACAAGCATGTAACCAGTGTGTTAAGACGTCAGACTGAGAGTTAAACACATTAGAAATTTGAAAGAAGGTGAAAAGGTCTGCCTGTGGATCAAAAGTCCTAGACTATGAACATAAAAAATACAAACAAAAATGCAGTTGATTATTGTTTCAGAAGTTAACATAGAACATTTCCTTTTCTCCACAGATAAGAACAACGTAGCAAACTGTATAAAATACCCAAATTCACAAATAAGAGAGTCTCCAGTCCCATTGTCCCATTGACCCTGTGGTATTAGAGAGAATCAGCACTCTTCAGATATAAAAATAGATTTCTCATCATTTAAAATCCCCTTAATATTTGAGAAATGGTGTTGTTCCTCTTGTAAAAGAAGACAGCACTGCTCACTGATCACCTCTGTCGACCCCTTTAGGCTTTCGTATATTTTGCATAATTTGTAATATATTTCCTTCTTGAAAATTTTGCAATTAAAACCATAAATACATACCTTACATCGGACAACAGAAAGAGGGACGGAACAAAACGCAGTAGCTTCCGAGCAAAAACGACAGTAGCTAAAATCAAACGAGGAATATTTCTGTCCATTTCAAAAGAAGGTAGAAAAATCAAAAAATCTCAATCAAAAGTCCATGTCAAACCTAAAAAATAAGGAAGGGACAAAACGAAAAGCATCAAGCATTAACGAGTAAAAATAGATGGCGTGATCAAACCCAACATGGAGACAGGAAGACAGCGGTGCTACAAATATAACGCTAACATCTACACGAGACCCTGTATACCTCCATGTGGTGTGACTTTATATGCTCAGTTCACGCCTACAGATACGGCACTACAACGTCCCTCGCCACCGGATCAATGCCCAAAAGAAGACGCACATCCTCAGACCCATTAGCGTGGACAGAACAATCATTCCGCTCACAGGAAGCCACTAACCTCATCGTGTCCTGTGCTGTATGCCAGCTTATTTAGTCCCCCGTGTGCCAGGTGGCCCAAACCGTGCGTGTTTCGGATTCTCTGTGTTTACCAGATGACGCTGGAGATGCTCGTCTCTCTGGGAAGCAGCGGGAGCATGGCGTTGTTGGCGTGGTGCTCATCCAGGCTGTGCTGGCGCAGGGTCTTGTTGTTGACGGGCCGCTGGCCGTTCATGAGGGTGAGGGGCAGGTTGCAGTAGGTGTGCTGGGGCGGCAGCGTTCCTCCGGCCGTGAAGGGCAGCTCGTAGTCGTAGCTGCGGTAGTGCGAGTGTTTCTGCCGTGCCAGCGAGTGCGAGCGGTACGAGCTCCGCAGGGACGGGCGCAGCTCGGGGTGAGCCGGCGCCAAGGCGGCGGACGTGGCCGTAGCCATGGAGATGGCCGAGACTGTCTGCAGGTCGGCGAAGGGGCTGGGTTCGCTGGCGTCCAGTGCGTGATTGGTGAGGGTTTGCTGGGGGCGGCGGTATGGCATGGTGTAGCGGAGCTGCTTCCAGAAGCGTGAGCCAGGCTTGTTGCTCTGCGGGCCGTTCCAGTGCACCACGCTCAGGCATTTAATGGATTGTTTTAACTCCTCCACCTCCTGGAAGTTAATGAGTCCTCGCAGATCGGCACACTCGATTAAGATCACTTTAATGTCCCCTGAAACCAGAGAGTTGCGCAAACGGGACTCCAGCTCAAATATACTCCACCCGCGACGCAACACGTAGCTCGGGGTCAGCACGATGATCAGGCGTTTACTCATGTCTACGCAGCGGGACACGTCCTCTATGTACGCTACAGGAGATAAACAGCACAGACAAAGAAAGAAACTGTAATACCAAAATAACAGGTCGCACGAGAACTGAAAATAATGCACAGCTGAAGACAAACGCACATTTAGGACAGAACAACCACAGTCATTCATGAAGAACTATCTGCATGCACAATGTATGCGTGTTGTGCGCACCGTACACATGTGCACGCATGTTTTTGCATTCAAACAAAGCTGTACCTCTAAGAAGATGTGTGTCATCCTGGTAATGTTGACTGCTCATACCTGGACATAAACATTCGGCTTTCAGACACAGCACACATACAGGGCAAAAACACCTGACATATGATGCAAACAAACACACTGTCACATAAACTGGCTCTGATGGCTTGCAATGGAAAAAAATGGTACTATTATTATTGCCCACATTTTGGAATATTAATAATCTTTTAAAATTATTGTTTTGTTCTACAGAAAGTCTCAAGACTAAATACTTATTTTCTTATTTAACCAAGCTATTTTCTAGTCAACATAAGGCTTTCTGGTCATATTAATGCTGATGAGGGAGTTTAATTAGATTTAATTACAAATGATTAAATTACTTTGCAGTATTAGGAAGCAAGATAAATCCAGTGCTGCTATCATGTTTATGAGCTGAAAATGTCACACTTCATTATGAATGATCAAGGTGTTTTATTAGTTCTGTACAATTTTAGTGCTGTTTGTCAAATCTCTGCACAACTTTCTTTTGTGATTGTTGTGGGCTTCTGAATACACTCCTAAAACTTCACAGGAATTCATTTCTCTGACTATTCATGACATTTCTGTGAACAGGTCACGTGCGAATGAAAATGTTTTAAACATTTAAGACAACATTTACAAACACACTAACAAAGACATACATTCACCCAAAACACACATTCGGCACGTACTGCTGGTAGGAATGAGATCTCGGTCAGGGATGAAGAGTTTGTATCCGTAATGTTTCTCCAGGACGTCAGGGAGAATCTCCAGAGCAAAGCGCTCCTCTTCCTGTAATTCCTGACCCCACTGATCCAGCTCAACCTTACTGTAGGACAGGTATGCATCATACTCTTTATTTTCTGAGGGGAAAAGAAAGAAATGTTTAACAATATATTTTAGAAATACTTCTGATGAAAAAAAGAGTTGTAACTCTAATAATTCCATATAATGTAGAAATTAGAATCAAATATGTAATTGCTGCAGTGTCGTGCTCATTAGTTCCTGTAGGGGGAGTGTGTGTGGCGTTTACCTCCGTCTGTATCCTCCCCACCAAAGTGATGCCTGTAGCAGAGCAGCAGCTCGATCCTGTAGCACTTATACACAGACAATAACAAAGCCAACAGCAGAAGAATCGCACCCAGTCCACCAGCCAACTCCACGGTGTACATCAGCTCCACTGAGAGAGACAAAATGGAAAGGGAAAGAACATATTACAAATATAACACTCCTGGAATAACATAGCATAGCATACATTTGTACTACATTTGTGAGGGAAGAACTGTAATCCTATATGCAGCATTGCGAATGACAATCAAATGAAAAACGAAAGAGAAATATAAAACTATTTTATACTATATAAAACAAAATATTTTACATTTATTGCTAAATATGCATATTACGCATACAATTACTTAAGTATTACCTTTGACTCTTTGTTATTTACAGTGCTTCATGGGAATGGGAGCTCTTTTTGCTAGTCGAGATTCTCTTATTGGTGGAGATTTCTCTTCTGAATCATGGGTAATGTATTTTTTCACTAGGAATTACACTGTTTAACATGATTATTTAAAAAATAAGTTGAATTACACTATGAATCAACAACCTTGAAGCTCACAGTAGGTCTGTCCTTGAGGGTTTATAAGTTATTATTCAAAATCAATTCCCTCTTGGAGGAAACAAATAGGATTTTTACTTCCAGCACCCGACAGATGCATTCTATTACAGAAACATTCTAAGCCTAGAATACTACTTCATTAGTTTGTAACCATGGCGATTTTAGTTGGAAGACTGAATTCGTGTTAGATTTTAATTTAAGACTCAAGAAATTTTGGCTACATGGTCACTGATCCCTATCATAGGATGCTAGGTGTGCTGGCATCTAGCTAAACTGGCAAGACTTCCTTTGTCAATTAGCTTCACCAGCAAATCTACCAGCCAGATCAGCACCAAACCAGCCTGGACCAGCATGGAAATTCATGCTGCGCTAAGGACATACACAAGGGGTGAGAAATGCAAAATGACTTCAGAATGATTAAGCGCTAATGATGTTCATATTGTTCAAAGCTCCTCTGCGCTACAGCTAATGGAGGAAAACACGCAAGATACACTCAGATGCTTCAGAGAAGCTGAAAGATTGTGAAAGCATGTGTGTTTGTGAGTTCAGCAATGAGCTGAAGGAGAGAGAGGGGGTGCATATGAGAGATTTGGTTTGTGTGTGTGTGTTTGTGAGTATGTGGCTTTAAGATTATCTGCAGAAATATGTGTGCATGGCTAAGACGAGTTGAAAGAGAGAGAGAGTGTGTGTTTATTCATTTGTGTGTGTGTGAGAACAGTTGAATGAGTTTTGAGTTGGGCTGAGAGGGAGAGAATGTGTCTGAACTGCTGAAGCCGTCTCCTCCTCTGAACTGCCATTAAAAGAGAAGATAGGATGCCTTCAAAGCAGCTCTCTCTAAAAGAGAGTGAATTTTAGATGCTGATGCATTTCCCGAAAGGAGAGAAAGAAAGAGACAGAGAAGAGGAGGGAGACACAGGAACACGCTGTGCTGTTTATGTAAAGAAACCCCACAGCACACTAAAGGGATAGTTTACCCCAAAAATGAAAATCCTGTCATAATTTACTCACCCTCATGTTGTTCCAAACCTGTATGACTTACTTTCTTTTGTGGGGCAAAAAAGTAGCAGCTTTAAAGAATGTCCGAGCTGCTTTTTTCATACAGCAAAAGTATACAGTAGGTGACTAGGGGCTGTCAAAATATTAAGCAATATTAAGCAACATTGATAATAATGTTTCTTGAGCAGCAAATTGGAATATTAGAATGACTTCCGAAGGATCATGTGACACTGAAGACTGGAGTAATGGCTGCGGAACATTCAGCTTTGTCAGGAATAAATGACATTTTAAACTATATTTAAATAGAAAACCGTTATTTCAGATCGTAATAATATTTCACAATATTACAGTATTTTTAATCAAATAAATGCCTTGCTAAGCATAAAGGACTTTCAAAAACATTAAAAAACTGTACTGACCACAAACTATTGAGCAGGGTAATGTATACTGGAAAAAAAGATTGTCAGTGAGTGAATTATATTGCTATCTGTTCATCATATAAAGAAAACTGTATGTATTATAAATTTCTATTATATGAACTCATTTGATTGCACTTTCATTTTTTTTATGGTGATTTTTTATTTGACAGCACCTGATCACCGTCTGCGCTTTCACTGTCTAAAAAAATGAACAGCCTTAAAATTCTTCAAAACATCTATTTTTTTTCATAAAAGAAAGTCATACAAACAAACAAATGACAGATTTTTAATTGTTTGTGTGAACTGTTCCTTTAAATGAGAAGCAGCTGGTATGACTCAGCCGGTTGAGTTCATGTGTGTTATGGCTGAATGTGTTACCTCGTTTCCCAATCTGTACATTGGCTTGTCTTCTCCCGTTGCCGTTTTCCGCATAACAGGAATAATTACCCAGATCTACCTCCTCCAGTGAATCTACGGTCAGAGTAATGGACACTTCCTGTTCACCCAGGTGTTCTCTGACCGTCCTGGCGGAGAGAATAAAAAAACAATGAGCCATTGTTCACCAAAGGCTGTGGAATAAAAGTTTTTTTAATTAGCCCCTTTTGATAGAGGATTTGGGGGATACATTTTAGACTGAGCAGCTTGTAGAGATTAGAAATTTGGGAGGAAGGGTTTCGGGTTTGGTCGGCGTTCAACAAATGGGGCTCTCATTTAATTATAACAGCGCATTTTCACTCTCTTGTTTGTCCTGGCTGAATCATTTGAAACGGAAATTTCATTTAAAAGATGCTGACATTGGTGCTTCTTAACTGCATGTAAATGCAAATGCATTCGGCGCATGGTGCGAGATACATTTCGCTGTGTTATTAGGATGTATTCAGCGCTTGCTCAGATCCAGCTCTCTTTCAGACAGGGGAATTAATAATAGTGTGTCATCACAGCGACCACCCCTGCTAGATATAAATAGGCTCATATACAAGCTTGTGATATCAGTAATTGAAATTGTACTGTCGACATCTCAGAGAACATTTAAAGTGTGCTTTACCGTGCACTATCTATCGTATTGAATAAGCGATTTCACAGTGGAAGCTAGTTTTAAAAGCAACTGTTTCTTGTATACCATTACAACAACACTATGGTGGTACAGTGATAGTAATACCATCGAACTTTGATATATTATCATGGTACTGAAAGATAACCTTATTCATTTACTATAAGGTATTTACACTCAACGCCAAAGTATGCTATTTGCCATGGTACAGGAATACTGTATTGAAAAAAAAAACACAATTTGTCTGTAAACATAATAATTAAAAATATTATA